AGGAAACTCCGAACATCTGATACATTCTTTAGAACTTCCCAATCCATTAGCTTTTACCTTTTGAGGGTCCACCCGAATCCCATCTGCAGAGATTACATGCCCCAAGAAAATTACTTCATTTAGGCAAAATTCACATTTGGACAATTTGGCATAAAGCTTCTTATCTTTGAGAATTTGCAAAACTATTCTCAAATGTGCGCTATGCTCTTCAATGGACTTCGAGTAAACTAGTATGTCATCAATAAAGACAACAACAAACTAGTCCAAATAGGGCTGAAAAATCCTGTTCATGAGATCCATGAAAACAGTAGGTGCATTCGTTACTCCAAATGGCATTACAATGAATTCATAATGGACATATCTCGTTCTAAAAGCAGTCTTTGGAATGTCCTCCTGAATCTTCAATTGGTGATAACTCGAACGTAGATCGATCTTCGAAAATACCGAAGCTCCTTTTAGCTGATCAAACAAGTCATCAATACGTGGGATGGGATACTTATTCTTGATGGTCACCTTATTAAGCTGTCGATAATCAATGCAGAGACGCATTGACCTATCATTCTTCTTAACAAATACCACTGGATCTCCCCAAGGCGACACACTTGGTCGAATAAATCTCTTCTCTAACAACTCTTGCAATTGATTCTTTAACTCTTGCAATTCTTTCAGAGCCATCCGATAAGGTTCCATTGCAATCGGAACTGTTCCTGGCATTACTTCAATTTGAAATTCTACCTCTCTATCTGGAGGTAATCCTGGCAACTCAGCAGGAAAAACATCAGGGAATTCTCGAACTATTGAAATCTCATTTAATCCCTTCTCTTTAGCTCTTGTATCTATCATATTTGCAAGAAAACCTTGACATCCTTGTAGCAATAACTTCTTAGCAGACATTACTGATATTACATTTGCTAAAAGATTAAACATTTCACTTATCACACTTATTTATGTTCCTCCTGGACTCTTCAGGGTTACCTTTTCGATCTGTAATTAACATCCCCATAGTAACGGAACAACCAATCCATTCTCAGAATTACTTCAAACTCGTCAAAGGGTAATTCCATCAAATTAGCAGGGAATTCAATTCCCTGAATCTTTATGGGACACCTCTTACAAACTTTGTTCACCCGAGCACTATGCCCTAAAGGATTAGTTACTATAATCTCATTACTCGTGGCTTCTAAGGGGATCCCCAATTCCTTTACTAATTTACTTGTAATGTAAGAATAATTAGAACTCGGATCAATCAGTACCAATACTAATTTATCATACAGCTGGAAAGTATATGCTATAATATCGGGATCATCACGGTCTTCACTTGTCTTTAAATTTTATACCCGTGCGGTTGACCGAACTTCATGTTGAGCAGAGGATTCAGACTGGTTCCTTCCTCTACCTCTTCCCTGACCTCTCTCTGTGAGGCAGAATCAACTCTTTCAGATGGTGCAGACTCTTTAACCATTAACGGACAATCCCAAATAAAATATCTAGCATCTCCGCATCGGAAACAAGTCCCCCCAGCCATCCGACACGCCCCAAAATGGTTTTTCCCACAGTGCTGACATTGTCTCAGTTGACCCTGATTGGATCTCACGACACCAGATCCCACCAACTGTGTCTGTCTAGGTCTTGCCTGACTTACTCCTCTAGCAGAGGATGCAACTAATTCTGATCTAACTTGTGATCGAAATCCTGAATCTCTTCATCTTTTTGGTGGGGCTGAGTTGTAAAAAGCACCCGTCCTCTTTGATGTCTGAACTCTTGAGTCCCCGAATTTCTCATTCTAAGCCCTTTCAAGAGCCTTTTCCTGATTAATCACCTCCTGAAACGAGGACAAGTTTAATACTATCAACATTTCCTTAAGCCTAGGGCGTAAGCCCTCCATAAACCACTCACACTCATCTTTTTCAATAGGCACAAGCTCAGATGCAAACCGACTCAGCTTGTTGAACTCGCATTCATACTCATATACAGAGTGGTTCATCTATTTTAAATTCATAAACTCCTTCTTCATCTGCCGAATAAATTGATCTCCAATGTACTTGTTTTTAAATTCATCTAAGAACAAAGACCAAGTTAACTGGTCACTAGACATCCTCATGGTGACGTTCGTTCACCATATCCTCGCTTGACCCCTTAGTAAAGAGATAACCCCATCTAACTTCTCCACTTCAGAACAGTGGAGACTATCTAACATGATTTTCAAATCATTTAACCAAAGATCTGCCGCAACCAGACCTTTCTCAGATTCTCCCTTAAATTTGGGAGCTCCCAAACTTCTCAACTCTTTTGCTACATTCATTCTTTGAATTTGTGGGGCAAGAGGTTGAAGACACGTCAGAATAGCGTCCAACGTCCTGAAGAAAGTGTCTTGGTCTTGTACAGGCACTCCCTGATATGCATGTCCTTTACCTTGTCTGTCCAGGGCAAGTGAATTACTGCTTTCAGCAGGCATATCTTCTTCCGCTTCACTCGGGAGCTATTATGTCCGGACATCTAATAAAATAAACACATTGTTCTATTAGCAAAACAACATACTCATACTATACCAGATCAGAAGTTCTCGCTATGTGTTGCATGTATTTCATTTAAAGACTCTATAGACTCTGGTTTATGCCTAGAATCGAGTAAACCATAGCTCTGATATCATTAAATATAACACCCTTAACCCGTACCCGACCCGGATACGAGTCCAGGATGTCACATTAACTATACAAAACAATGCTCTAAAAAATGATCAAACATTTGAACTTATGTTATTAAAATACAATAATATACATATGTTAATACAAATTTATCAAAATACTCAGAGCATACACAACTTGACTCTTTGATTACATGCCAACATTCATTTACATAACAAAAGGACCTACTGATTAAGTCGCCTCTGATCTGATAGTTGCAGGAGTAGTGTTGTCCAACTGCTTAACCTGTCTCGTCTACTTTCTCGGATCCTACGTGTGGAACACTCACACGTTAAGTCATCGACTTAGTGAGGCAATATAATAATAATAACAACAAGGAAATGTAATGAAAATGCCATAACAAGATGAAATGAGATGAAATCAAATACTTAACCATGCAGTTTATATCACCATGTTCCTTACCTATAAGCATATTACATTAACATTCATGAATTCATATCAATAACTTTATTGGCCCATGATACCATACTGAGAACCTAAGGTATGTGAGTACTGTGAGGTTGTGCACTATGCTGTCACCCCAAATTGATAAATGCACCGAAGTGCCACTTAGAATTGCACCGAAGTGCCGTGTAGAATTACACCATAGTGCCATATAAGATTGTCCCTAAGGACCACATAGAAAATTCCTTAAGAATCATATACATATGCCAAGGATCAAGTATGTGTCTCAAAAGACCTCACACATGTTCCAAAGGATACATATATGTCCCAAAGGACCGCGTAGACCCTCTACTCTTGGCATGCCAACTATACCTATAGTTTTCATCTACATAACATGGGTTTTTCCCAATTTACATAGTATATCACATAGACATATCATTTCCTTACCTTCATCACATGGCTCATATAACTTTGCATACATATTCATTTAAAACATGTTACACAATGCACATAGTATGAATTTATATCATGCTTCACAATATGAAATGAATCATGCATCAGTGTATTGAATCTAGACTTCTCACAAGTCTAGAACTGAATATATATCTATAATCATGTTATGCATATACACTCACCTATATTTCTTTGTTTTTTCCTCGATCGATCTTATTGGGCAATCGCTCTGGAACTTGTGTAGGCTCTGTATCTACATCATTGATACTTATCAGTATACTAATTAATATATTCTAAACTATCATTCCTTAGGCTAAAAGAAAAGTCATTTTCATCTTTTAATGAAGGTATGCATCGATGCACTACACCATGTATCGATGCATCCCTTGACGGGTGCATCGATGCACTATCTATGCATCGATACATAAATCTCATTCGATGTTTGTATTTAAGGGGGTGCATCGATACACTGATGGCATTCGATGTTTTTATTTTAAAGGAGTGCATCGATACACCTTGAACAATTTCTGGGATTTTATCCTTGATGCATCGGTACACATTGAATATGCATTAATGCACATAGCCCAAAATGTCATTTTTAGCATGAAATCCCTTCATAATCCCTTCAACACTACATAATTCACCTCCTTTATATCCCTAACTTGCATACACTTACTTAAACTAATTATTATCCATTCAATACCTCTAAAACTTAGAAATCCAATCCTCCATATAGAATTTAAGAATCTCACTCAAATTCAACATGTTCTAAATCTAATTCTGACACTTCATATCCTTTAATTCCACTAATGACAAGTCAAATTTAGTATTAAAATCTAATTAATACCTTTCTGTCAAGATTTCACTTATTCACCTCCTTTCTTTAATCCTTCCTAACTCCATCATCTTTTGATTTTAAGATAACCTAAGTTTTCCTTAAGCTTAGTTATCATCTAATGATCCATAAGCAACCTTAAATTCATCAAGAATTTGATCAACAAGAAAACTCACCTTTAGCTTGGCTTCACGGTGGAGAAGAAAAATGAAGAAGAGAAATATAGAACTTTGGTTTTCCCCAATTGTCTTCCACGTGGGTATTAAAATACCCCTTCAAAAGTAATATTTAATTACTTCCCTGCTAAAAGACTAATTTGCCCTTGTAATTCTTCTTCTTTGCTAATTGATCCTACACAAAACATTTCAATCAAATCCTTGAACTTCTCAATTTATCCCATTTGGTCATTGAATTTTTAAATCTCACAATTTAATCACTAACCCGGTATAGAGGATGTTACAGTGCCTGACCCGTTGCGAAAAGCTTGCCACATATCTCACAATATTGCACGCTTTTCTTCCCTGATCTTCTTCCATAGGATTGATTGGACTTGTTACAACCTTGAGTTTCAAACTTCAAGGCTGTCGTCTAGAAATAGGGTAATAACTCCACTGTGCTCTCACCAGCTCCCTCCATTGGGCTAACTTGATAGCCCACGCTCTCTTCACTCTCCTTCTTCTTCTTCTTCGTTGCAGGTTCACAACAGATCATAAAGGAAGCTGCATCGTGAAGTACATCGTCGGTTGCACTTTTCCTTAACCCTCTTTTACCAGTTCGATCCCAGATGGTCATCTCTTTCTGCAAATCTATGTACTGCTTATTTCCCATCCCTTGTTTGAAGATGGTCTCAGCTTTACTTAAAGAATTATAGTCGAAAACATTGTCACGATGGATTCTCATATGCCGGCATAGCAGAAAGTTTCCACGCAAATTAAGCAACTAAAACCATCGTCTTCATCATCGGCAACTTCTTGTTTGGGAGATCGCATTCTTTCACGCTTCCCAGCGTTGATCATGTGGAGAACTTCTTCACGATCACACATAACAAAATCAAACCTGACGCAAAAGATAGCAGAGGATAAGAGAAACAAAAAAGACCGACTGTGTTGTGTGCGAGGATACTCTCTCCCTATGTATACATATATAAATCCCTAGTTGTGTAAGATAACGTATTGGATGAAATTAAAAGAAAAGCTTGAGCAGCAAGTAACTGTTCATCAAGTATTTTCTTTGATAACATGACTTCTTAGTGACTGTATGAATGTTAAGCCTAGTCTTGGTAATTTAAATAAATAGGAGATAAAGGGAGAAAGACAATTTATATAGGGACAGGATTGTGTTCCCTGTAGATATAGGAAATATGATAATAAGTATTGATGAATTAATAACACATATTTCCGATTTTTATACTCTATTTCCCTACTCTTTTATTTTTATTATTATAATTTTTCAGCATTGAGTTGAAATCCCTTGGCTCCTCATCCTTCCTCTGTATTACCCAACTCCTTCACTCTTTTAACGTCTTCTGAAACTCAACCCACTTGATTTTCTAGTGGTTCAAATCAAACACTTATTAAAAAAATCATTTTGAGTGGAGTCTTACATTACTTAAAAGAAGAGAGTATCAAGAGTACCCCTTATGCTATCAAATTCACTTTCAGAATCAAGAAAGACATAATTTCAGATATACAAGTACCATTGAGAATATAAGATTTCTTGAACCAAATTGAATATCGGGAATGGTAAAAGAAAACCAGTACAGTTGATAACAAGAGATGCTAGTAATAGTAGAATTCAGTTTTATTTTTACATTTTGATTATGAAAGTAAAAAAGCTATAATGGCATCAGAAAATGCAACTAATAATACGATGTTTACTTTCATGATAATCTAAATAGGGTGAATAAACAGAAAAATCAAGCCACAATCAAAATTTCACAACCATCAGATTATAATGATAAGATCCTATGGTAACTTCTAGTCCTTATTGACCACCACTTTTAGTTGAGACATGTGATGTGAATGCAAATCCTAAATCATTGGGCTGTTTTACCCAAAGACAAGCTTTCCTCATTCTCGCCATCCTTGCATATTTAAACACTACCTATATCGTAAGAGGGAGGACAAATAATTTTGTAGTGCTCTTGCATAAGAACTTTATTCATGGGATCGCCAGTATAATCTACCGAGTGAATTCCGCTTCTGCCATTAGATCTTCCGTCGGGTAATAATAGCTATTTCGCTTACACCAGCATAAGTACTGGGGGATCGGTCCGTCTTCTCCCCTAACCCAATAATGCTCTGCTACATCATTCAAAGTCATCCTATGTTTTGGGTCTGAAAAAATGTTCACAGTTTCAGAACGGCACAACCATGTGAGAAATACGTGGTGGGGCAGATGAACATTTGTGTTGGGTATTAAGGACCCTGAGCTCAGAAAGGACAATTTCACTAACCTTTGCAAAGAAGGCCTTCGAGTAAGTTCCTCAACGCCGGGTTCATGTCATTTGGCAGAATTAGAGGGTTATTAACAATCTGCAGAAAGAAAACGAACCATGTTGTCGTTGGCCACGGGAGAGATTAAAAAAAAGAGCAACTAGAAAGAACACGTGCATGGCTAGATGCAAAAGAGACAGTGAGAAAATCCCATACCTTGTCATACGTATCTTGTAGTGTTTCACCAAGAAATGGATAATGTCCAAGTACCATACAGTACAAAGTAACTCCTAGAGCCCACGTGTCTGCAGCTTTTCCATGATATGTTAAACCTGTCGATAGATTTCAAACATGTTAAAAACAAACGCATATTATGCTCTCAAATTATTTTTCCAAAACTAGAGTATAGGTTTCAGCTAACAGACCGAACACTGACCTAAACAACACTCAGGTGCAGTGAAAACAGGAGTCCCAGGAGAACGGCGAAGCTCATCGTTTTCATCCTGAAAAATAAAACAACTGTAAAACTTACTTTGCAACCGAATAACATCAGACACAGATAAATTCTGTTAAAAAATTCAACCAAATCATTTTAAACATATATGAGCCAAATGTATCTTTTACGCACTAAACTTATTAATGCAATTGCAAGTAACCACCTATCAAGTACATGTGCATGACCTTATTCAAGTGCAAGTAACCTAGCTCGCATAAGAAAAAGAGTATTCATAAAATTTGTAGTTTAGATCATATTACATAAACCTGGTTATTACACAATACGAACATAACACAAATATACGATGTGCCAAATCATACAACATAAACCTTAAACACAATTATGACAGGTTAAGTACAGGAAAATGACACAGTTACACTAACTGCCAGTCTAATATTATATTTGAAATGATCAGGTTTAATAGCGCCATGCACATATTCTGTTTTTAAAAGAAAAGATCCACACAAGCACACCAATTAACAGATGATTTTATTGTTTGTCACAGGAAACAAGACACTGGATATAAAATGTAAAATAAATGGGAGCATGCAAAAACTTTCTATGCTAGTAGTATTAAGGATAAAAAAGTAAAACTCAAAGAAATGAAATTATACACCACAGAAAATTAGAAGTTTTCTGGATCAATCAATTTCCTCGTAGAAATATCAAAAGACGGAGAATCAGACATGCAGGAATATGCTGCAATATACATCATAGATATCACAATTCACAACTAGGCAACTCTCTTCTTTAGGATGTTTCTTTAAACTGACTCTTAAGTATTTTCTTTGTGTTTTACACAAACTAGGAAGAGCAGCACAGGTGAAAATTTTCTCTGGACAAGTTCATAAAAAACTGCTATCATATTTATCTAAACATGAATTTAGTAGGACATATCACTCACAAAACACACACACCTGATAGAATATAGGAAAATATGAAAAAATAAACGAAATAAAGCAAAATAAAATGGTTTTTAAATCATACATGAGCATGGAGGTACATAAGCCCAGATACTATATCCCGCACGTACTTCCTTGCAGTATCTTCTCCAATGCCTCCTTGAGGACCAGAATCCTCACAAACCCATTTGCCTTCCACATATTCAAGAACTGAACAAAAAGAAAAGCTAATTCAACCAATATTTTAAACACATCACCTGCTAGATGAAGAGAAGAAAAAAAAAAGGAAATATAAATACCCATGTAGAATTGATCCATTGCTGGGTCATCAATCACCTCAATGAGATTAACTATATTGGGATGTTCCAAAATTTTCATGATTAGAACCTGTAAGGGAAATGGATAAGATATGTATGACCACTCAGCAATATAATAATAATTACTTCACATGTCCACAGTAGATTATTAACGTAGCTCTCTCCACAAACTATCCAGACAATACCTCACGAAGAACATCACTCATTGCAGTCTCTGATGGACCAACTCTTGCCTTTAATAAATGAGACTTATGAAAGACCTGTAATTCAATGAAAAACAATCCATGATTGAAAGATGAACTTAATTTGGCATAAATTGACTAGATCCAAAAAACACGAAACCAAATTTAACCTATAACTATAAGAACATAATGAACCAAATGTTTCTTGAATTTTAAAAACTATGTTGCCAAACAAATAAATGCAACTGAATTGCCAGAAAGCATTTGTTCTCAATTGTTACAGCCATTTTATTCTCAAAGGGAAAACACATTTCTCCACTGAAACAAGCTACCAACCTTAAAAGCATATTGTTTCCCATCTACATTGTTTCGATAAAGAACCTGCCACAAAAGCAAACAAAATAGTTAACATTTGAATCCTTTATGAAAATCATGTAAAAAGTTAATTTCAATAATATCATTACCACTTTTCCATAGCTACCAGAACCAATCTTATATTCCCGCAAGTACTCATTAATCATCTTATTCCCATTTTCATCCTGAAAAATGAATCTAGTTTTTTAATAACTTCATAAGCATAAGAGCCAGAAACAATGAAATGAAGATTACTTGTATAATCAGAGTAAAGCAGGAAAGATATTTCACATGCTGGAAACACACATCCACAAGACAACAATATTAACATACACAATAGCATTTAGTGACAATGAGGTGAAATAATTCATTTCAATGCTTGCCTCGGACCGAATAATCATGTTTGGTTTCCTTGACAGGAAACTGCCTGCAAGCTAATCCATTGCTAAGTTTGGATCTCAAAAACTCTTCAGTACGCTTGCCACGACCTAGAGATTCAGCCTCATCTCCAAGAACAGTGCAGGTAACATCACCATTATATGAGAAATCATCATCTTCTTCTATTTCATCATCTTCTTCTATTTTTTCATCTAACAAAAATTCCTGGGACTGTTGAAAATTTGGCCTGCAATTGTGCCTACGGGATTGTTTGGGCTTTGTTGTGAAGCCGAAGCAACCAAAGCAGCCCATTGCTCTAGCAAATGAAAAGCTGTTACTAAACATCAGAACACTTGAAACCTTGAAAGTAGTAAGTTACAAATGAAGAATGATTCTCAACCCTGCAAAGAGAGCATAAGCTAAGATCAATAGGCAGCCTATCAAGAAATTGCCAAAGGAAATTTCAGGTTAATATTCAAAGTAACTTAAACATACATGCTACACTATTAAAAATAATAAAAATAAACGGGAAAACAGTTTGGAAAAAAATATACCTGATTCTGAAAATAAAAAGAAGGATTGGGGGCTTGAAGCCCTAATCAGCTTTACTATTCCAAAGGATGCCATTCAGCCAAATGAAAGGAACATCTTTCAACATCAAAGCCACAACGAACGAGACCCAACATCGCTAAACCTCCAGTTTTTTTAAGTTGACCCCTTCTCACAATATTTCCCCCAGATATCTAAAACAATCATTAAGAAAAAACCTAATTTTGAGTATGCTATAATTCGTATATGATTAACCCGAGGAATTTGAATCCTGGATCCCAGGGACG